CTTAGGGTCTGTTTCTCTTAGTGCTGCAGCAAAAGCAGCTGCTTTTTCTCGGTCTCTTTGTTTTCTCTCCTTGGCCGCCTCCTCGTCATGGCTATAGAATACTGAGGAGGCAATTCTTACTAACATCTCAAGTGAGCCATCTAGGATGAAAGCCATTTTTTGTAGCTTTTTCTCTCCAGCCTTCCATCGTACTGGGATCCTGCAACCAGTTAGTGTCCTCTCCCCAGCCGTCAGCACAGGCAGCAGGAATCTCGGTGCAGACCTCTCCAGGGCTCCATGTGCTCCTCCACCGCAGCCTGTACTGTCAGGGGAAGAATGGCTTCCAGGGGGTCTCCCCAGGTATTGTGCAAGGACCTCCTAGTTTACAGTTTCCAAATGGCTCTCGTGACCCCAGTCAACTAGACCTCTGAGTCTTCAGGCATAGCCTGTATTCTTGTGTTCTCTGAGTCCTTCTTCAGCAGCTGCTCCTCCGCTGACTCTGGACCTTTCTGGTTCTCAATGGCAGGGACAAGAGTGACCCATTGCATGGCATGTATTCCCAGGGGTTTCTCCATGTTGGGATGATTCACACACATCCCCGGGCAGGCCTCTGTGGCTGACATGTGGCGGGCCAATTGTGTCATTGCTTCTCTGTGCCATGATAGTTCTCGATCACACAGCAGTGGCTGGCAGCGCGCACCACCGCGCAGGTACCCAGGCGCCAACTGCCTGCCTCCCTGGTGTCTGCATGGCTAGGGCCCAGCCCAAAGGCCAGCGCTCCCCACCCCACGGCCTCCCAGGCACTGACTGCCCGCCTCCTGGGCGCCTGTGTGGCTAGGGGCCAGCCCAAGGGCCAGTGTTCCCTGCTGCACAGCTTCCCAGGCTCAGGCGGCAGCTAGGGGCTAGTTGTTTTGTTTTGCTTGGGTTTTTTTTGTTTTGGTTTGGTTTTTTGAGACATAGTTTCACTATGTAGCCCTGGCTGGCCTCAAACTCACAGCAAATCCTCCTGCCTCAACCTCTTGACTGCTAGGATTCTGGTTTCTCTTCAAACTGAATAAATCTTTCCCCTTTTCTTGAGTGCTAGGATTACAGGCGTGCGCCACCGGGCGCATTTTCTGCCTTTTGTTTCTCCTCTTTCTGGAATTCTTAAGAGCATATGTTTGATAGGGGGTCCTGTAGATCCTTCGGGGCTTGTTCACTTCCCCCTTGTTCTTTATAAAATTTCTGATCTGAAGAGAATGATTTAGTTGACTTATCTTTGAGTTCCCTGATCCTTTTTTCTTCTTGCTTATATTTGCTGATAAACCCTTCTAGATTCAGAATTTCTGTTTGGTTCCTTTCTAATAATAATAATGATAACTATTTAGGTAGCTGGCTAGCTAGCAAGATCGATAGAGATATGTTTTTAGAGCATTTATTAGAGTCACAGCAAAACTAGCAGACATACAGAGAGATCCCTGTTCCTAAACTGAGCAGAAAGCACAGAGAGATCCCTGCCCTCCCTCCGGCACACACAGCCTCCCCCACCCCGCAGCCTGCACTGGAGTGGTGTATTGGTTACAATCAATGAACCCATGTTGACACGTCATTAGCACCAAAGTCCGTGGGTGTTAGGGCTCTCTCCCAGTGGTGTACATTCTGTGGGTGGGTTTGGACAGAACTATACCAGCATATATCCACCATTAGGGTATCGTACAGATAGTCTCACTGCCCCACCTGTTCATCCCTTCCTGCCCCAACCATTGCCAACCACTGATCTCCAAAGTTTTGGCTTTCCTGGACAGTCATAGAGTGGAATCACACAGTACGTTTTCAGCTTGGTTTGTCTCATTTAGTAACACAGACTGATAATTACTCTGTTTTCTCACGACTTGACAGCTCCGTTGTTTTCCATGCTGAACAATATTCTGTGGTTCAGATTTATCACAGTTTGTTTATCCATCAATCTGGAGTGCTTCTTGATTGCTTCTAAGTTTGGGTTCCTTCTTACAATTTACACCTCTTTATTCGTATTCTCATTTTGTTCATACACTGTTTTCCTAATTTCTTTCAGTTCTTTGTCCATGGTTTCCTTCAGTTTGTTGAATAAATTTAAGATCATTGATTTAACAATATCTTTGAGTAATCATTCCAATGTATAGACTTTCCTGGAGATCCTTTTTGTCAAATTCTTTATTTTCTAATATTTTCAGCTCCTTTATATGTTTTGTAATTTTCCTGAGAACTGCACGTTTTGATTATTAAGTTGCAATAGCTTTAGAAATCTAGTTTCCTCACTCCGAAGGGATTGAATCTTGCTTGTTAAGGGCTGGAGCTGATTGTGACTTTTCCAAACTATTTTTTCTGGGACAGAATTTCACTATGTAGTTTAGGCTTGAGGGCTGGGGATATAGCTCAGCGGCACAAGCGCCTGCCTGGCAAGCTCAAGGTCCTGAGTTTGATTCCCGGTATAAAAAAATAGAAAATAGGTATAGTTTAGGCTGGCCTTGAATTCATTGTGTAGCTAAGGCTGGCCTTAAACTTGCAGCGATCCTCCTGCCCCACTGTCCCAAGTGTGGGGATCACCAGCGTGTGCCACTACACTTGGTTTAAACTATTTTTAAGCAGTGTGTATTTCTTGTTGTGTTGGTCACTTGTGTTTCTCTTTCTTTCTCTCTCTAAGCAGCCAGTGTCTTGACCAAGATTCCCTAAATGTCTGGCTTCCAAGAGGAAAAGAAAGTAGCATCTTCTTATATCTCCCAGAAACCACATCAGCCCTGAGGGATGGAAGTTATGGTTCCTAGCTCTGCGCTGACCACCTCCCCGCTTAGTGATCCAAACCAGCAGGCGGCACTCAGAACTCGCAGCCGCTGTACTGGAGGACGAAGGACTCCTTGCTCACCCTGGTACCAGCAGACAGCACTGGGAGCTGGGGCAGCATCCCACTGCTGCTTCCTGGGACCGGGCTGGGAGTGCCAAGTACCTCTGTGCTGTAGGTCGCAATTCACCAGAATTCCAAAATTTACCAGCCTCCTGCCCCAGCCCTGTCCTACGCAGCCCCACAGCTCCAAAGTCGCACCTTCCTCTGGTTTCCGCTTCCCAGGAAGCACAGACCTTTTTTTAGACAGCAGATTGTTGAGTTTCCCCCTCCCCCTCTTCCCCGGTGCCAGTGTCCTCACCCCCAGTGGAACTGTTGAGCTCACTTAACTGGAAACTTCTGTCCTCCCAATCAGTAATCAGCCGTCAGGCCCGCAGAAGTGATTCTGTCACTTCACATCTTGGAAATGTTTTCAGTTACATCTTCCTATGTCCACTCTTCTATGTTTTTATTCTGATGACTTCTCTTGAATATTCTGATGACTTCTTTTGAATATTCTGATGACTTCTTTTGAATATTCTTGAAAGTGGAGCACTATTATTTTTCACAAAGACCACCTTTTTTCTACTGCTGAGGATATCGACTGTCGCTGCTGCTGGCTTTTACTCTTCTTCTGCCTCCGGTCTCATCGCTGTTGGCTGCTCATGCCCATCTTCTGTTTGCGTAGCTTGAGTTCTCTTCTGGGCCAGGGGTGGTACTGTTATGGCAGGCAGCACTGAGCTGCTGATTGCAAGTCCTGGATCAGTGCCGGGGGTGTTGACGTGGACATTCAGTGCGGGTGTGACCAGGGAGGGACTTGGCCGTTGTCGTGGGAGAATCTCCCACCTGAAGTCCCTCTAAAAATCTCTCTGTCCAGCCGGGCGTGGTGGCACACGCCTGTAATCCCAGCACTCAGGAGGCTGAGGCAGGAGGATCATTTCGAGTTCGAGACCAGCCTGGGCTACAAAGTGAGCTCAAGGCCAGCCTGAACTGCATAGTGAGACCCCGTCTCAACAAACAAACAAACAAACAAAAATAAATAAATAAAAAATAAAAATCTCTTGGTCCCTCTTCCCAGAACCGTGTCTACAGGTTGCCAGCCAGCTGCGGAGTGAGGAGGAAGGAGCCTTTGCAGACCTGGCCTTGGCCTCCCTCAGGGTGAGTGGGGGTGGGGAGACTGCTGGGAGGGAGACCCTCACTCAGTCATTCATTGCCAGGCAAGACCTCAGCTGTGCCTTGGGCAGACTCCTCAATCTTGTGCTCAGGTGAACAGTGAGCTGTCACTTTCCTGGGAATGGGGATCTGCTTGGGGAAAACCTCTTATATAAATTTCCAAACCTGTCCTTTCCTGCTTTGCATCTCCCTTCTTATCCCTAATTGTGTTTTTGATTTTTTTTGAGACAGGATCTCACTGTGTAGTTCAGGGTGGCCATGAACTCACTATGTAGCCCAGGCTGGCCTCGAATTTAACAGTGATCCTCCTGCCTCAGCCTCCTGATTGCTGGGATTATGGGCATGCATGCTGATCCCTAATTGTTGGCCGGAACTTAATGCCTCCAATTCTAGAGAAGTCCTAGAGTCCTTTGGCACCAAACAGCCTCATCCCCCTCTGGCTACCCTCATGGGGAGATCTACTCTGCAGCCAACTCCGGCCCCTAGCCCCCGCAGCCTTCAGGACACTGCTGCCATCTCTGCCCCTGCAGCAACTTTCTCTGCCTTCTGACCTTTGAGGATGAGTGAACTTGACTCTCAGCTGCAGGTTCCAGCAGGAAGGGATAAGCTCGTGTGTTTAGGGCGCTGTGTTCAGCAGGGACCTGCTGTCCTTTGCAGCCTGCTCTTGCTGAGGAATAAGCAAATGCCTTGCAAAATGTTTAAAAGGAGCATTGGTGGGGGACATTCGGACAGGACATTCCTGCACAGGGAATGATGTGCTCCTGGAATAGAAGCTTGCAGTGACATCGATTGCCGAGAACACCATCTTGGGGAGGCTCAGAGATTATATGGCCAAACACAGCCAGACACAAGGCTCCAGAATGGCAGTATTAGCCCATGGCGATCAAAAATCAGAGCAGTAGAGTTGATGGGGTAGCTCAGTGGTAGAGCACTTGCCTAGTGTGAGTGAGATCCTGGTTTCAAACTTTAGCACAACAGCAAGATAAAACCAGAACAGTATTTCTCCCCAGGAATAGGGACCTGATGGGAGGCGGCTCCAGGGAATCACCCAAGGAGGGGAAACCGGTTCAGTATTGATGTGGGTGCAAAGACGCCATGTACGTACAATTGCCGGGCTGTACATGTGAGGTGTATCGCAGTACATGTGCCGCTGTGCATGTTCCACACCTTACTAAACGAAGGATGGGCAGAAGTTGACAGGTGCTGAGTCCTTGCTTTCAGACTAGGCTTCGGAGAGATCTGCTTTATAAACTGTCACTGAGCCAGGTGCAGTGGTGCATGCTAAAATCCCAGCACTCTGAGAGGCTGAGACAGGAGGATCACAAATTTGACTCCAACCTGCACAACTTAGCAGCTTAGTGAGAACCTGTCTCAAAAAAAAAAGAAAAAAAAAAAAAGCCCGGGTTTAATCTCCAGTATGTTTAACAAACAGACAAACAAATAAATGAATAAAACCCCATTCACTTCATGAGCACCTAGTATTCCTAAGCACTCCCTAGCTCCTGAGGACCCAGCAATGAACAGAAAGGTGGCCTAGGCCCCACCACATGATGCCCACCAGTGGTGCTGGAGACGGTGTGAAGTAACTGCACTCCTACCAGGAGGCGGCCCCTGTGAGGGTACAAGGTGTTCAGCATGGGGTAGGGAAGAGTCAGACACCTTCCCTGCAGCAGTGCGGCAGTGCGGTCTGAATCGAGGCCTCAGGGGTGAGGAGGAGTCCATTTGCCACGGGGCTGGCAAGGGAAGAGAGTGCTCGTGAGATGGGAGGCGCCTATGCAAAGATCCCGTGGCAGGGCAGACAGGGAGGCAGAGAGCAGGGCCAGGCAGGGTGTGGCCAATGTGAGGATCAGGGACCCTCAGAATGGGGGGCTGAGGCTGAGCAGGTGGGGGGCTCCCCTGGGTCACCCAGTGAGTGCAGTGGGGGCTGCCGCCAGCTTTGTCTGCCCACCCGGACAGGAGGGAGGCCTCTGGGATGTGGGCAGGGAAGCCGCCTGGGTCCCCACCAGCCGGCCAGCTGCCCTCACACTCCCTCCACCCTCAGCTGCACAGGGCCTGTGGCCGGGAGTGGCCATGGGGCTTTGCCCCGAAGAGCAGTACTGGGACGACCTGCTGAGCAGCTGCGTCTCCTGCAAGCCGGCCTGCGGCCATCGGAGCCAGCGCACCTGCGCAGCCTTCTGCAGTGAGTTCTGGGCCAGACGTGGGCACGGCGGGCCCCTCTTCACCCCCCCGGGCTCCTGCTGGCCCCTCCACAGGTGCCAAGAAGGGGGAGAGGAGCAACGTGGCGCCTCTTTACGCCGGCCTTTCTGCCCTGTCCCCCGTGCGCGTTCCAGCTTCCTGACCACGCTGCACTCTCGCCCGCCTGGAATGCATATTCCTCGTCCACCCCCTCTCGGCGCCCTCCTGCCCAGCCTTCCGGTCTCGGCCGAAATTTCAAAGCTGTCCTCTGACTGCCCCAGTAGCAACCAGGCTCTCTTTTGTCCTTCTCTATTGTCAATTTCTTACAAAACTTTTATTAAAGAAATTACCAAACATACACAAATGTAGAGGCAGAATAGCACCGTAAATCATCCCCTTCAAAAATGGTGACAGTCCTGTCTCTCAGGCCCCCCAATTTTGACTTGTATATTTTAAAGAAAATGGAGACCTCATATCACTGGCCCTGTGAATACTCACTCATGGGTCCCTACCACACATGGCCTCGAAAACATAAACGCAGCGTCTCACTGGCCCCTGCAACAACTGCTGAACATCGTCCAATGTTTAGGCCACACCCACTTTTCTGTAATTGTCTTTAAAAATATCTGTTGCTCACGGTTTTGTTTTATAATTTGTTCTTTACTTGACAAAACTTTACCATTTGCTGTTATGGGTTTCGGTGTGTGCTTGTTCCATGTCTGACTCCACCACTAGACTGAGCTCTCTGAGGGGGAGGAGCCACGTCTAACTTGAGCCTAGCACAGTGCCTGACACATGGTATTTTGTAAATATAGAGTAGAGAGCCGGCTGGCCTACCTAAGATCACATAGTTTAAAAGTGGGAATGTCAGGATTTAAACGCAGGATTCTGACTCCAAGCTATGGCCCTGAACCAGCACGCACTGATCAATTCAAACTTTCATTGTTTCATCCCCCAAATATAAACGAATCCTTTAGCCCCGTGAAAATAGGTATCTGGCCTGACCCTTCAAGAAAGTTGTCATCTAATGGGAGAAATGGCTGCCTTTCGAGGTAGGAGGGGTAAGTATCATAAGAAGCCACAGGTGGACGATGGGGACATACGGGGGTGTTATTCAGAGTTCATAGAATGTGGACGTCCTGTGAGAGGGAAGGTGCACCGGGGGAAGACGTGATGGGGATGTCGGAATCCTGAGGTGCAGGCAAGCTGCTAGGTCCAGGGCATCCATGTGCCACCTGCAGCAGCTACACCTGAAGCCTCCAAGGTGGGCGGGAGGTCCTGGAAGCCCTGAGAACAGTACTCAGGCAGCATGAGTGGTGGGCCGGGTGCTGTGAAGTGCAGGGCAGGCCCACTGGACCACCTGAGTCTTTCCTGAGGCCCCAGTTCCATGATCTTGCAGGTGTTTACTCTGTCAAGAACACGCATGTGTGTGCGCGTGCGTGTGTTTGCATTGTAGAGATGCTCAGGTGAATATTCTGTTCAAGACTTCCATTAACCGAGCACCAAGCGCAGTGCTGGGTGTCTCAGCCCTGGGTGTCGACCCTGACTGAGAAGTCTGCACTGATATTGCCCCTCTCTCCGGAATGAGGAAACTGAGGCAGGGAGAGTTAAGATGACACGGCCTGCAAGTGGTTGTGTAGGGACGTCATCAGTCCGATGGCTTCGATGTTTGTGTTCTTGACCGCTGTCCTGCACTGCCTCTGAAGTGTGCTGCTCACGTCTCTGTGAGTCACACTTCACATAAGTAGCGTCTTAAAGGCAAAGGAGACTTAACTTGGGAAAGGAAAATTATCCACCTTTTTTCTTTTGTTAATTTTAGTTTACTGGTCCACGTGTAGAGCCTCCCCCTCCCCCCTCC